TGTGTGGATCGCTAGTAGGGTGCTTTGTTTGAGGACTGGTTCTTTCCAACCATGTTATCAATGACTCAGATGGCTGGCTGAAGGGCATTGTTATCAGAATTGCAGATGGCATGAAGCTGATATGAACAGCTTATACATCTGGAAACAGAAATAACATTCAAAATGAAGCTGATTGAATGGAAAACTCAGCCAAAAATGACAAGAAAAAAAAAGAGAGAATCCCTTGAATCATGGTTAGAGGGAATGAAATCCACACATACAAAATAGCACTATCTGGTCTGGCAGAATTACATATGAAATAGAGCTTGATCACAGTTTCAACATGAGTGTGATGCAATGAAGAATAAAAATAAAAATAGCTGGGGGAAAATGGTTTATATAATTTTAGCCTGTATTAATTGAGCCCTCGTTTGAAAACCTTGTTCTTCAAAATCTCTAGAAAGTGGGGAGGCTAGACCAGGAAAGCCTTTTCAATGAAATCAGGTATGAACATATATTTCAAATTTATAGCTGATAAGCAAGAAATACACCCAGGCCTACGATATAAAAGATATGCAAGCAATTAGAGGAAGCCAAAGACTACTTTATATAAACAAGTATTAAGGAAGAGAAAACTAAGTTCCCAATTTTGCTTAAAGATTAATAAGTGTTGGGAAGATGGAAAAGAATGTGTTAGCTTCCTAGACCAAGAAGCAGGTTCCTGAAAACATAGATAAAACCTTAGGGAGACTCATGAGATACAAAGCAAGCTGCAATCCCAAAAGATCCCCTAAAAGGTGATTTGCTAACAAAAATTGGAATTAAGCAAAAAATTAAAATAAAGCAAATTAAAGTGACCTCATATGTTGAAGTGCAGACTTTAAAAAAATATTCTGATACTTCGACATATACAAATATTCTGACTGTATACATATGGGTACAACTACACTGTTGAAACAATCAGGAGCTGTTTTTTTAAAAAGAATTGATAACACATGGCTTTTGTGTTGGTGTGTGCACATCCTCATGTAAACTGTACCTGTAAAAATGCCTCTATATTATAAGTAGACCGGAAGGGGGAGTGTTTCCCAGCCTTCCACTTGCTGAATGTTTCTCTCAGACCAGACAAGGAGGGTGGGTAGACAGTAGCAACTCCTTCTCATTCCAGCCAACCCATTTTCTGCAGCAGCCAGGAGCTTCACAGAGCTGAGAGGGAGGGCACCGTCCATGTTCCAGTGAGGGGGAGTTTCTAGGAAGTGGCTGAGGGAGCAAGAATCAGGAATTTTAGTACCACTGTGGTGGTCCCCAGACTCCTCACCTGTTCCCAGTCTCCTTGCATTTTTAATAATTTTTTTTAATAAGTTTTGAACTGACGTAGTGCTCGATCAATGCAACAATAAAATAGCAATAGATTTTTTTTTTAAAGCAAGAGTTTGGAGTGCGGGGTATTCTGTGGTCCAAAACTGCTTGTACTTGGTACCTCTTTTACAGACCTCCACAAACACAGGCATTTACACATGCCAAAATGAGTCAGGAAATTTGACTTAACGTGGCCAGAACCGCCTTAAAAGAAACAACCTCCTTGTTGATGTTTGAAAAAGCTCACTTTGCAAGCAAAACGAAAAATGCACACTTGTATGTTGTGTAGGCAGATATTTTTATGCTGATGGAAGTGCACTGGTCAGATTCAGTTTTAGAGCAAAGCAGAGTGATTTGAGACTTTGGACTGATATTGTGTTTTGGATGTCTAAAATGAGTGGGAACAATCCAGGCTGTGGGCAAATACGATTGCATGAGTGAAGAAAATGGATTTGAGCTGGATTTTGCTTACTGGCAGCTCTAACATGCATTTTCAGGCAAGAATTTCCCCATCTCTCTCCAGTTACAGTCCTTGCAAGCAATGCTGATAAATGGCCTCCTGCTTCCTGAGGCAAGAAGAGAAGTGCTACTAGTGTTGTGTGCCATGCATGGCTCAATGCAATTTTTATGGCAGGAAGAGGTGGATATGGAAGAGGAAATTGAGGCTGGCACAGGCTCCCAGCAACTGTGACTCAATTTGCTCCCCACTACAACTCACCAACCTGCATAGTCCGTCTTTGCTCCAGCTGGCTATAAGAATATGTTGAGGAACAGTCATAGAAATGACCTGTGCACAGGTGATTTTTTTTCTTGCCACCTCTCTTCATAATGCCTTGGGATGAGGACCTTTGGGACTAGGCATTATTCACAGGGTAGCCAAGGGCTGGTTGGGTTGCGCAGGCAGGAAAAAACTATGGGGAGAAAGCTGATGACATTGCCTTCCTTCTCCTCCTACTTGTCCTTCTCCTGAGACTCAGCCAGGGTGGGGAGCAGGTGAGAGAATGAATGGGAAAAATGGAATACTTAACCAATTTTATATGTTGTTTAAGAACTGTGCTCGTCTTTTGAAATAGGAAAGTTTGTAGTTGCCTAGGGGTACATCCTGAAGTGCAGAACTGGCCTCAAAATCAAACTGGAGGTCCCATGCACAGCCCTAGCACAAATTGCTCAGAGCTAGAACGGTTCTGATTTCTTAGAAAGATGAAGCATGTAACTTTCTTAAAACTCTTCAAATCTTCTTGTGCATGACATGTGTGTCTTTTGCTTCTCAAAGAGAAGGAAAACAGGGGAAATGAGGGAGGTGCCAGAGGAGAGCTAATGTTGTCCGTATCTTCAAAAAGGGCAAAAAAGAGGAACTTGGGAACTACAGACCAGCCAGCCTGACATCGAAAATGGGAGAGCAAAGAAACCAATTGCACAGTTACAAGATGGGGGATACCTGGCTCACAAAAGTACATTTGAGAGGTATCTTGGAATTGTCATAGATCACAAGCTAAATATGAGCCAACAGTGTGATGTGCCTACAAAAAGGCAAATGCTATTTTAGGCTGCATTAATAGAAGTATAGTTTCCAAATCCCGCAAGGTGCTAGTCCCCCTCTATTCAGCATTGGTGTAGCAGTCACCCTGCTTTGGCTCAGGTAGGAGATTATTTGCATGTACCAATGAGAGCTGTTGGGAGACGGAGCCAGAGAAAGTAGAAGGGAGGGGTGAGTCAGAGTCTAGTCAGTTCTAGTCAGAGACAGAGAGGAGAGAAAGAGTTTGGGGGTTTCAGGCAGAGAGTGTGTTTAAGGAGTGATTAGTCAGTGTGTGACCTGTATTAATTAAGATAGAAGAGATTAAAGTAAAATACTGAAGCTCTGTATAACTTTAAGAATGTGCTTAAGAACTAGTCCTAAAACAACTTGTAATCAATAAACCTGTTTCTGTTTAAAAGTTCAGTACTGAATGGACCTCAGTCTTTCATAGGAAATATAGGTTGATAAAGAGATCAACTGGTGGCAGTGTGTTAAAGGGTGTCTTGGGTAACTCCTGTGAGCCCTGTGATTGGTGAAATAAGCAGGGGCCACAGGGTAAACACCACAACTGGTTAGGCCTCACCTTGAATATTGTGTCCAGTTCTGGACACCACACTTCAAAAAGGATGCTAACAAATTGGAACAAGTGCAGAGGAGGGCGACAAGGATGATCAGGGGGCTGGAAACCAAGCCTTATGAAGAAAGGCTGAAACAACTGGGCATGTTTAGCCTTGAGAAAAGAATGCTGAGGGGGGGATATGATAGCACTTCTCAAATATTTCAAATACAGAGGAAGGGCAAGATCTGTTCTCAATCATCCCAGAGTGCAGGACACGTAACAATGGGTTCAAGTTAAAAGAAGCCACATTTCAGTTGAATATCAGAAAAAAACTTCCTGTTAGAGCAGTACGACAGTGGAACTAGTTACCTCTGGAGTTGGTGAGTGCTCCAGAACTGGAGGCATTGAAGAAAAACTTGGATAATCACCTGGCAGATATGCTTTGATTGTATTCCTGCATTCAGCAGGGGTTTGGACTTGATGGCCTTTGAAGGCTTCTTCCAACTTCACTTTTCTGTGATTCTATGACGGTAGAGATATTTGCATAAATTACAGAGATCTTGAAGGGAAAATGTGAGCTTTTTATCTTACACTTGTCTGGAACCAAGTTTGGGATTTGGGTTCTTGCAACTTCATTAATGATGAGGAAGACTAGCTGAATGAAAATGAAGATTTAGCAAGTGTTTTTTTCAATCTCTCTTCTATTGTACACTGAAGATTTTTTTTCTAGGTAGGGCCAAATCCAAGAGGAGGATGTAAACCCTCACTTGTCATGTTCTCATAGGCAAGGATGAAGAATGGCAACACCCACCTCCTTGCCCATGAGGACTCCACAAGATTGTCTGTTGCTCTTTATTCTGTCGTAACACTGGGATGATTTTGCAAGAAACATGTACAACATTTTTATAAAATTGAGAAAATGAATCCTTAGCTTCACAGAAGTTGAATACTTGAGCACCTTGGCTGAATTGTTTCCCTCTTCCTTAACAATCAGGCTGCCCAATGTGTTTGTTGTGTATGTGTACTCAGTTTCTCAAGGGGAGAGGACACTAGTTTTCTACATGCTTTGTTCAAATTATGGAGACCTCAATAGGGACAAACATCTGAAGGCTTTCAGAATTTTATGGAGGAATCTTCTTGAGATGCCAGTGAGGATGAGACATTGAACATTTACTCTTCGGAGATCTGCTCCAAAAACAAAAGATGTAGCCTATTCATGCTTTAAGAGAGCCTGTACTCTGTTGAATCCTTACAGCAAATCCCAGAAATCTGAGAGACGTGTTTCTTTCTTTTTTGTTGCTGTTTGCTTGCTTATTTCATTTGCTTTGACGGATATAGCAAGTGCCCTTTTTCCTTTACTCCTGAGAGAAGTTACCACATGTACGGCAGACACTGTCTTGAAAAATTTCTGATTTCTGTGGATGTCTCTTCAGACATTTCCCATATCAGTTAAGCAAATGCTTGAGCAATTCATTTAATTATGTTAAGCACCCATTAACAGCAGTCTAAGCCTTCCCTTGGGTCATATCAGTTCTATGAGATTCTAATTGTTAGAGACTAACCATGATTTTCTCCTTGTGCCTGCAGGTGATATTAATTCTGACAAAGCTCTATGACTACAACCTGGGGAGTATCACGGAGAGCTCGCTGTGGAGGTATGTAGATAAACTGAACTAATAATGACCACCTTACTGACTCTGGATACTCTGCCATAGTCCTTTCATTAGATTAGATTAGATTAGATTTCTTATGACCTACAAGGACTGAAGGTCTCATGGTATGGTGATTTTGAGTTCTTCTGACTGTATGTGGTGCTGCTAGGACTGACAGAGCTTAGAAAGTTACTTCTCAAAATCACTTAGTTTCTATCATAGTTCCAAAGCCTTTAATGCCCATTATAGTTACAATCTTTTAAAAGTTACCATTTAGCTTCCAATTTCTCAACAGTAAGTACAAGTGATCTCTTTTTTAAAGGTTCCTTATAGAAAACACATACTAATACAATTAGTCTGTAAGGCAAAATACACTCATTTCCTGTCAAAACATTATTCAACACCTGAAATGTGAAATCAAAGGCACCTCTCTCTGTATACATCTGTAATCAGTACAAGAGCTAGTTCACTCATGAGTGTGACTAATCATTGGGATGTATAAGCCCCTGTCAATGGCTGCTGCTCCCAAAGTAGAGGTTTCATCATTGTACTTGATGATCACCCATATCTTCCAAGCAATAGATACCTAGAGAACTTGTTGAAAAACAGCCCTAACAATTGCTTTGTGTTTGGGGGAGAAGTGCTTAACTGATGAAAAAGGAGGAAGCTTCTGGGAATTTCCCTTGCTTGGTGTCACTTTGTGAATGGTAGTGAGCATAAGAGAGTATCCTGTAGATCACCTTGACCGCTGTCCCGGGTGTCATCATATTCAGGTTTCCCTTTGCTATATAAAGTTTGGCATCCTTTTTCCTTCTGGCAATGTGGGCATGATATTGTGCTATTGTGCAGCATTATGATCTGTGGATACAGAAGCACAATATCCCACATTCATAAGCCAGAGATTTTCTGAAGAATTGAATAAATGTAATGAACCATTATCACAATGAAGAGTCAAACTCCCAACCTCTGACTTCACAGCAGATACTTAAGCCACTGAATTGTCCACCTTCTGTGTATGTCAGGTTTCTTTCACAGCCACAGGAATCCTGAAGAGCCAGGGCCCCTGATTCCATCAAGGAAACCCTGCACACAAAGAAGCACATCTTTCTGACTGAAGCCACTCGCTTATTGCTGAGAACAGGAGAGGACAGCCTTCATTATTAAAGGAAAAGGCTAGTCCATATGCATTCCACATGATTGCTTCATACATTCCATATGAATGTACTGAATGTATGAGGGGTACTTAACCCAGGCGTACAGAACTGCTGAATAGGACTGTGAAATCATGCTAGTATAGGAACGGTGGCTGAAAAAAGAGAGATGCAAACAACCCATCCAGCACTTCATTAAACAAAGAATCCTAGTTTTGAGCACTTCATGGAATTCATGCAGGTTTCCAGAAAGGAGGCCACTTCTGTACAATTGACATTTTTGCCAATGGCAGAACTCTACCAAAAGTGTCATGGAATTATTTGTCATCTTTGTTGATGATGAGAAAAACTCCTTAACTCTTGTTCCTCTCATGCAAGCACAAGACAGACCAGGATTTACTTCTTTACAGAAATTCTCCAAATCAGCAACTCTCTGTTCTTTTTTGTATGGAATATATTAACATCCTTATCTGGGTATAAAGTTCTTTTTTTCCATACAATATGTGCTCCATATATGTCCCCTTGCCACTGTAACTCTTGCCCGATATTTTTACAAGTGGGAAGTCATTTGGAATGTGTAGAACACAATTTATGAAGCAAAACAAAAAACAAAAATTGCTGCTTTATATATTGACCTATAGTCGATATATAACGCAAATATAAATATATTTCTCAACGGGACTGGATGATGGATGTGGAGGGGCTGGTTGTGACCCCATTGTCATGGTCAAACCACTTCCTGGTCAAGTTTAGTCTATTAGCTTCCTCTCCCCTCTGCAAGGGTGGGGGATCTATTAAGATGATCCGCCCTCGGAGACTAATGGATCCAGATGGATTCCTGAATGCTCTGGGGGATTATCCGTCTGATATGGTCGGCGCTCCTTTCGAAGCTCAGGTCACCCTATGGAATAAGGAGATGACCCGGGCTGTTGACACGTTTGCGCCTAAGCGCCCTCTCCCTGCTCGCCGAGCCCAGACAGCCCCTTGGTATACTTCTGAACTGCGGGCGATGAAGCGAGAGGGGAGACGGCTGGAGCGCAGGTGGAGGAAATCCCGCTGGGA